AAGAACTCTTACGTCTTCTGATGATATTTGCCTGCAATTAACAACTAAGGTTCCCTAGCTTGACCTGAAGAACTCTTACGTCTCCTGATGACATTCGCAAATGGTCAAAGTGGAAAGGCTTTTTGGCTAGACCTGAAGATGTTTTACGTCTTCTGATGACATTTGACAGCAATTAAAGACTTGGATCCCTTAGCATAGCCTAACGAAATCTTTTGTCTTCTGATGATATTTGCCTGCAATAAGAACGAAGGTTTCTCAGCTAGACCTAAAATACTCTACTTCTTCTGATGATATTCGCTGATGGACAAAGTGGATAGGTTTATCTGGCTAGACCGGAAGATCTTTTACGTCTTTTGATGATATTTGCCTGCAATTGATGACTTGGGTTCTTTAGCTTGACTTGAAGAAAGTAGGTAGCCAAAAAGCTTATCCACTTTGTCCATCTGCAAATATCATCAGAAGACTTACGTCATCTGGTGATTTTCGCAGATGGACAAAGTGGATAGGCTTTTTGGCGAGACCTGAATAAATTTTACGTCTTCTGATGACATTTTCCAGCAATTAGAGACTTGGATCTTTTAGCGTAGCCTAACTAATTCCTTCGTCTTTTGATGATATTCGCCTATGGACCAGGAGGATAGGTTTTTTGGGCAAAACCTAAAAAAAAGTTACGTCTTCTGATGACATTTCTCAAGAATTATAGACTTTGGATCCCTAGCTTGACCTGAAGAAATCTTACGTCTTCTGATGATATTTGCCAGCAATTAAAGACTTGTATCCTCTAGCGTAACCTAACGAATCATTTCGTCTGCTGCTGATATTTGCCTGTAATTAAGAACGAAGGTTCTTTAGCTTGACCTGAAGAACTCTTACGTCTTCTGATGATATTCGCAGATGGACAAAGTGGAAAGGCTTTTTGGCTAGACCTGAAGATTTTTTACGTCTTCTGATGACATTTGGCTGCAGTTGATGACTTGGGTTCCTTAGCTAAACCTGATGAAATCTTTCGACTTCTGAGGGTATTTACCATTACACGAAGTGTTTAAATGATGCTTCGCTTGACCTGAAGAAATATTACGTTCTCTGATGCGTTTTTCCAAAAACCCTGAATCAACTTCACCATTTGTAATTAAAATTCACAATTCTTGACAAAATGTGGAATTGCAAACGATGAACAAATTAGTCAAAAACTTGTGTCCTAATGTTCCTTACGGGAATTTAAAAAGGAAACGGTTTCCAAGTCAATTCAAGTAATTCATTATCCAAACAAGAGAAAATGCTTTCTTTGCAAAATAAATTTACCGTCACACTTTTCACCCTAGTTACCATATTGTAGCAGCATTTTATGCTTCCTTCTTTCTTCTTCCAACGTGACACTCCTCTTTTTGTCCCCTGAATTATTCCATTAAGTCCTTTCGACCGTCTCTCTGCCCAGAGCGACAAAAAAGGGGGAGCGCGAATGAAAAAAGAAAGTAAAAGAAGAAGTAAATAAAAGAGCCATGCCAGGGGAGTGTCTACCCTCCGCGTTGGGAATACCGATTAGCGTCCACGTGGCTTGGCTTTGCTTTTGGCTTGGCGTGAAATTCAAATCGCTCTTCCCCTCTCACTCTCTCTCCCTCTTACACAGCCTAACGATAAATATGTATGCGAGGCAATAGGAATGAAGCACCAGGCAAACTTTGGGCCTCAGATGCAAGAGGTTTTGCCGGCGACCTATCCAAATTGCTTTTATAATTTTTAGCCATCCTCTGGGACTCGTTATACTCCCCGAACTATATAACTTTCTTTTCATTTCATTCCAAGGGATCCAAGAGAAAAGTCTAGAATGAGGAAAAGAATACAAAAAAAAGAACACTTTTAGTATAGCTTGAGCAAACCTCTCCGATTTCCTCCACTCACTGTTTACTCAATAAACAAACCCCGCTGAGTTGGCGCCATTAGATAGAATATGTATCATAAAACTTTCCTCCTAATATATTTTGATTTCCAAATTACAAAAAACTTTGCGACACTCTTCAGAAATAAAACTTGTCTTAAAAATTTTTAAATATCCCTTTGATATTTATCGAAAGCATTTATTTAGTAGATCTTATCTAATTAATTCAATATTTTTCTTTTTACATCCTTATTCACACTAAGAATACAAAAATTACCTTCATAAACACTTCATTATTATGTACACCAAAGAAAAAAAAAAGTCGCGTATTATTAATAATTCAAAATTGCATTTGGTTCAGAAAAAATTATACACGAGGCATAATTACCAATTCAAATTATTGATCGATTCAAATGCGGCTATAAATTGAGAAGAAGAGAGAAAGAGAGATGGGAAGATAAAGTGAATGAAATTTCCTTCGCGCTTTAATTTCACCGGTTTTGTGCGCGTCCCGCATTACGAAGAAGAATGTTCGTTGATCGTCTCACTCCGACGAGCGAAGGGAATGCATCCGACGAGCGGTTTATCGCAGCCGTTTAATTAAATAGAATTCAAATCTGAATGGACATCGACTACGACGACTCTTTTTTGTGCAGCAAAAAAAAAAAAAAAAAAAAAATTGCAACCGAATAGAAGGAATATAGAGGGATTATAAAATATTCAGAGATGAACGAATAATGAATATAATTAAAAAAATATTGGAGGGGAATAAATATTTATTTATTAAAATAAATATTTATTTTAATAAATAAATATTTATTCCCCCTCAAGTGTCATAAAATGTTATGGTAACTAATCTTAAACAAATATTTTTTATAAAAAGCTTCCTCAAGGGTTAAATGGTGGTTTACAATTTCTCCACTTGAGAACGTCAAGGTCGCCACCAGGTGGCGGAGCAAATTCCAAGAAAGATGTGAATTGCCATCTAGCGGTGACCTTGGCGTTCGCAGGTGGAGAAATAACCTTCATATTGAATCTCATTGTTCGTCAATTTCCTAATTTAAAAATTATTAAAAATATAGACATAAATATAATATGTAAATAAATATCTGTTTTATAAATATTTCATATATTTTATAAATAATATAAAATTCATAAATATTGTATTACATAAACATATATATATATATATATTTATATTCATACAATCGTGAAAGCAAATTAACAGCGTGCCCGAAAGTAACTTAAATTTAAATCCCGCAGCGCTATTTGCATGTTATTACCTTGTTTACATATTTATTTAATAGAGTTCACTACCCGAGGGTAAAATTGTTCCTCGATCCAAAAGCAAAACATTCCCTTTTAATAACGAATTAAAAGTGATTTATAAATTAGTCGTGAGAGAGAAAAATCACTTTGTTATTTTAATCCCCTTTCTTCCTATACATATTTAATTAAATTTTACCTTTCTTTAAAATGAAAATAAAATAAATGATGAATAAAAATAAGGAAATAAATAGAAGAAAAATAGTCAAGACCCGTTTTTAAATTGAAAAATAGATATAAATTAATTAAATTTACCTCTTTATACGATTCTACGATTTATGTAAATTTAATGAAACTATAAAAGTTAATTTGCTTTTTTCTTCACTTTTCGTCACGATTATAATCTTATAATTATAAATTATATACAGGCCTCGGTTATTATGACTTTTTTGACTTTTTTCAAATATTTTTCAAAAGTTTCAATTTTCCTTTCAAATATTGCAACAAAATACCACATTTTTTTAGTATGAATTGCAAAATATTTCGATTTTTCTAGTGTGAAAAATAGCTACTAACACAATTTTCAAAAATTATTCAAAAATAATTTTTCTAATTAAATTTTCAAAAATATTAATATAATACAATATTAAAAAGATTTTGAATAATTGAATTTTTTTAAAATTTAATGAAAAATAATTCATTTTTTTCTAATATTATTAAATAGAATTTTTAAAAATCAACTTTTGAAGAAAAATTTGAAAATTTTGTGAAAATAATTAAATTTTTAAAAAAATTTATTGAAAAATCAAGTGTAAATTTATGAGTAAATATGAAAATTAATGAAAACTTGGTTCTAAAAAAATTATGTTAACATTTTTTTTTTAAAGTAATTTTTAGCTTTTTTTTCATTATAAATTAAAATTCAATTATTTTCCATATTTTCAAAAATATAATTTCCAAAATTCAAATACCTATATAGGTACAAAAAATAATACAAACATAACATTTTTTAGAATTATTTTTAACATTTTGGAGAAAGCAATTAAATTGTAAAAATTTTTAATTAAAATTCTTCAAAAAAATTACTTAGTTTTTTTTAAATTGTACGAAAAATTTAAAATTCTTTTAAGAAATTCAATTATTTTCGAAAAAATTTACATTAGAATATTTTTAAAAAACTAATTCTTAGAATTGTTTTATCATAATTTTTTAAGATTTTTACTTATATCTTTTAAGAAAGTAAATAAAATTTTTTAATGATTCTTATATTAAACGAAGAAATCATGTTTATATTTAAAATTAAAATTCTTCAAAAATTTGATTTTTTTTACAATTTTTCTAAAAATTCAATTATTTTTAAAGATTTTTATTAAATTTCAATTATTTTAAAAACATTTTACCGAAAAATTCAATTTTTTAAAAAAAATTTTATCAAATTTCAATTTTTTTAAAAAGATTTTACCAAAATTCAATTGTTTAAATAATTTTAATTGTATATATATATATATATATATAATTGAAAGACATTTTTAAAAAATTATTTAAAAATAGTTTAAAAAAATTAATTTTAAGAGTTTCTTTATTATAATTTTTTAAAAATATTATACCTGAATAATTTGAAAAAAAACATGGACAATAATTAAAGTTAAAGAAGATAAAAATGTTTGTTGCAACACTGAATTAAATTAAAGGATTTTTTCGACTTTTTTGTATTTTTAATCGACTAAAGCGACTTTTTTTTGTGTCTTATCGCCTTTTTTTTGTATTTTTAATCGACTAAAGTGACTTTTTTGTGTCTTATAAAGTCGATTCGAGGCCTGTATATAAAATTATTTGTTTTTAATTTAAATTTACTCACGTGTTTGTGCATTTCCACATTGAGACCGTACGCCATCTCGTAATACTGCAAATAAAAGACAATTTTTTTTTTAATATTTAACATATAAATTAAGAAATTAAATAGAAATTAAAAAAGCAAATTTTTCTTAAAACCTAATATGCTTAATAATAATTATAAATTATTGTTTTTGTTGGAAAGTAAAATTATCGATTCTTTCGAGAGTTTAAAAATAAATATGTCGACAAATTTCTTTCAAATATGATCAAATATGATCAAATATGATCAAATATTATCAAATATTATAAAACATTACAAAATATTATAAAACATTATAAAATATTATAAAACATTATTAAATATTATAAAACATTATAAAATATTATAAAACATTATAAAATATTATAAAATATTATAAAACATTATAAAATATTATAAAATATTATAACTACATCATCATGTTCGAGTTTAATAATTAAAAATCAAGTTAGTTTATAATCTGATTAGAATAAAAATTAATGACCCATTTCGCTGATAAATTAATTACTAAGCGGTGTCTGACATTTACAATGATTAAAATATAGATAGGGAAGGGGGGTTGGGATTGAGATATAAAAATAAAAATGCTTTAATATATATCTATATTTATCCAGATGAAACATTGACTTTTTTCCGCCCTCCTCTCTCTCTCTCTCATCTGTCTGTCTCTCTAGGGTTTGAGAATGAAAATAGCTGAAAATGAATAACGTTAAAGTATCGTATTTTAATTTAGTTCTGACCTGGATGATAAAAGTGTCGAGCTTGTCGGGACAACATTATCTGGTAAATGGATTAGACGGTGAAAATCTGAAGCAAGAAAAACGGAAGGGAAAAAAGTGAAGAAAATAAAAAAAAAAAGGGAGGAAGATGAGAAAAACCTTTCTTAAATAGACAATGAGGGTGAGAGAGAGAAAGATGGAAGAGGGTTGGAAAACGAGAGTCTGAGAGAAGACCGGTTTCTCGTAACATCGTTTCAACATCGCATGTACAAGCCAGACTATCGAGTCGCTTAACTAATTCTTAACAGCCTTCGGGGTTCTCAACTTTCTTTATATTCTCGAAGAAAATAATTTCTTTCAAATAGTTTTTTTTTTTTTTAAATTTTTTATAACACTATTTGTTAAAACATTTCTATTATTTTTATCAATATTGTATCATTAGTAATCACGAAGGTAAAACAGACACATCGCAAGTCAAGGCTCTCGTTCACATATTAAATTCGAAAATATAGAAATTTACATTAAAAAAAAAAGAAGCCTGCATGGCTGTGTGGTATGTGTATTCGTCCTCCGTCCCATAGGCCTTGGGTTCGAACCCCCGTGCGTGAAATTTTTTTTTTTCGACAGAAAAAACATGTCTTTAAATTACAATTACTCGACGGTAGTTAAAAAATAATTTATTAGGAAAATAATAATAAAAAAAAGGATGTTAATTCAATGTATAGTTTCGAAAGCGCGTATATGAGTGAATTGAGGTAAAAAGACGCATGGTCGCTCGTCCAGTGTGTATATGTTTATTTTAACGGCCTGAATACAGTCATTGCCCATAAAGCAACGAGCGTTGAGAATGACCTTTATTGCTTCACGATCGTAAAGCGTGCACCTCGATATGTCCCCGGGTATGCTCGCTTAAAGACTTTAATACTTCTGACGACCACAAAAGTCACCCTCAAGTTTTTTAATATAAACCGCACACAAACAACGAAAACGACAAAAATAGCACAAAAAAAAAGTATTTTTAACACCAAAATTCAAATCTTGAATTATTATTTAAAAAAAAATTGTTAAATCAACTGTAGGTTAACCTGACATCTGGCGGACAGTTTATTGGCGCGAAATTCAAATCAACTCTATATATAAAATAACACAAAAATTCTAAGAAAAATAAAAATTCAAAAAGGGTCAAAATATTTTATGGCTATTGAATTCCTCACAAAAAATTACTTTAAAAATAATTTTATTGAATATTTAAATCATTTCTTCAATATAATTAAAAATAGGTGTACCCTCCCCTTAAGTACCTATTTAATTATTCAACAATTTTATGACAATTCTTCAAGAATTGAGTTTCTACAGATTCCTGCACCGACTTTTACCGACACTTTTTAGCCCAGACACGAACCGGAAGTTAATCAAGTATTATGAAAAAAAAACGATGTCCAAGCATCATTTGCTTTTTTTAAATAATATATAATAACCGTAAGCGAATAAATTATATATAATATTAATAAAAATTTCTTTTTAAATATTTGTTAAATACTCAAGAAAAATAAAAAGTAAATCGTTGTCTCTTGAAATGTTTTCAATTTTCTTTTTTTCTTTTGCTGTAAGTGGAAAAAAAGATGACTTAAATCTGTCTAGTTTCTTGAATCAAGTCAATAGAGCGTTACGTTAGTATATTGGAATAACGTTCTCCTCTGGTTTGAGTTAATTAGTATTCAGCTTTCAGTGGTAGCAAGGAGTTCATTAATTAAAGTCCAATTACATGGGCGAGATGAAAAGAACCGAGAATCTCCGGGGTTGAATCCTCTACTTGTGCATTTTACACTTTGAACGTTTCTTCCTTATTTCCCTCTCCTCTCCTCTCCTCACCCTCTCGCCCTTGTTATCTTCCTTTTCTTTAGCTATAGAAACGAGAAACTTTTCCCTCTTCGTTTTAGTATTATAATTCACCTTTACTTCTCTCTCTCTCTCTCGCTCGCTCGCTCTTTCGCTCTCAGCTCGACATTTAGTTAGATCACTTAATAGTTACGTAATGACTTTATTTGATCTTCGTTTAATTAATGGGCGGCCTGTTTGATCGCGCCCCCTTTACAACCACGTGGACTATCGTCGACGTGTGGAATGTTTGGCGTTAATTGTCCACATGTTCTCTACTTCAAAATTGAGTGGTATTCATCGATATATATATCTCAAACAGTTAATTCTGCTTTTCTCTTGTATTAACATTTTTTTTTGAATTATTCTCTTTAGATAAAGGATTTTTCCTTTTTGCCAAAAAATGGCAAATAATGGCGAAATATGACACTAAATTTAACGAAGTGTGGCAAATGGAATTTTCCCACGTGAAAATGGAAAAATGGGCAAAAAATGGTAAATAATGGCAAAAAATGGCACTAAATTTGACGAAGTGTGTCAAATGGAAATTTCCCACGTGAAAATGGTAAATAATGGCAAAAAATGGCGAAATACGGCACTACATTTAACGAAGTATGGCAAATGGAAATTTCCCACGTGAAAATGGAAAAATGGGCAAAAAATGGTAAATAATGGCAAAAAATGGCACTAAATTTGACGAAGTGTGGCAAATGGAAATTTCCCACGTAAAAATGGAAAAATGGGAAAAAATAGTAAATAATGGCACTAAATTTGACAAAGTGTGGCAAATGGAAATTTCCCACGTAAAAATGGAAAAATGGGAAAAAATAGTAAATAATGGCACTAAATTTGACGAAGTGTGTCAAATGGAAATTTCCCACGTGAAAATGGAAAAATGGTCAAAAAATGGTAAATAATGGCAAAAAATGGCACTAACTTTGACGAAGTGTGTCAAATAAAAATTTTCCACGTAAAAATGGAAAAATGGGCAAAAAATGGTAAATAATGGCAAAAAATGGCACTAAATTTGACGAAGTGTGGCAAATGGAAATTTCCCACGTGAAAATGGTAAATAATGGCAAAAAATGGCGAAATATGGCACTACATTTAACGAAGTATGGCAAATGGAAATTTCCCACGTGAAAATGGAAAAATGGTCAAAAAATGGTAAATAATGGCAAAGAATGGCACTAAATTTGACGAAGTGTGGCAAATGGAAATTTCCCACGTGAAAATGGCGAAATATTGCACTAAATTTGACGAAGTGTGTCAAATGAAATGGAAATGGAAATGGAAGGGAAATGGAAATTTCCCACGTAAAAATGGAAAAATGGGCAAAAAATGGCACTAAATTTGACGAAGTGTGGCAAATGGAAATTTTCCACGTGAAAATGGCGAAATATGTCAAAAAATGGCGAAATATGGCACTAAATTTGACGAAGTGTGTCAAATGGAAATTTCCCACGTAAAAATGGAAAAATGGCAAAAAATGGCACTAAATTTGACGAAGTGTGGCAAATGGAAATTTCCCACTTGAAAATGGAAAAATTAGCAAAAAATGGTAAATAATGGCAAAAAATGGCACTAAATTTTACGAAGTGTGGCAAATGGAAATTTCCCACGTGAAAATGGCGAAATATGACACTAAATTTAACAAAGTCTGGCAAATGGAAATTTCCCACGTGAAAATGGAAAAATGGGTAAAAAATGGTGAATAATGTCAAAAAATGGCACTAAATTTGACGCAGTGTGGCAAAGTATTTTTTACATTGTCAAACTATGGGCAAAGTATGACGAACCATGGGAAGATGAAAACATAATTTTTGTTTTCTTGCTTCGACAATTTTTTGCCCGCATATAGTTTTAAAAATATACAAAATACGTCTTTCTTCCCCTCTCATATAGTATAAGCCATACTTTGCCCATAGTTTGAAAATAATGTAAAAAATTAATTCTTAACGCGCAATATTTAAAAATTAAAGAAAGAAATAAAATTTCGTCTCTCTCTCTCTTTTTTTCGCTCTAGGGTTATTCTTTCTTTGGATTATAAACAATTTAGCTCGTCACGATAGGAATCTAGATCGATATCCACCTCGTAATCAAAGCCAGAAGACTAATGGATCGACCCTCTTCGAAGTTTGCTCTTTGCAAGATAGTTATCATTGGATCACATCCACCGGATATAGTCTATATATATATATATATATATATATATATATATATGTATATATAGAACTAACTTCAAAGGCTTAATCGTATTTCATGAATGCGATACCGTTAATGAAGAGACTTTAGCCTTTGTAAATGCAATTCAGCTATTATGTTACGTTGGAGAAAATTAAAAAAAAATTAGTTACATTCTCACGAGGAGAGGATTATTTAAAAAAAATTGTATCAAATTTGATACAAGTCAGCAAATTTTGTTTGAGT